ATCTATTTTGTGTTATTTTCCTATAATCTTTAATAATTTTACAGCAGCAGAAAACGTGGTATGGTAGTGTTCCTTTGGAAATGTTGGACAGAATTAAGAACAATATCCCTGGTACATAAACATAGCTTTTACCATCAATATCTCAAAACTAGTGACTATTTTGTGGTAATAAGTTTTGTAGGTTTGTAAATGTACATTTATATTTATATTTTATTGTAATTATTTTAAACAAAATAAAATATATTTTCAAATAAACATAATCCACAAATTGGTTTTAATAAATAATATTTCAGTTCCAAATACCGATAATTTCGATCCAGATTATCGAATAATAATTTAAAATAGTAGCGTACACCATATATTCAGTGACAGGAACCGAATTTTACAGTAGCTACAATAGAATTATGGGATAGTTGTGAGAACCGACTGAATTCGATTGGAAACAAATTCGGTTATCACAACGAATCTGTTTTCTCTGTGTAGAGAAGGTAGCCACAATTCAACATAATTTTCTGTATAAAAAGTAGTCTCAATTCAACTACACAGAGAAAACAGATTCGTTGTGATAACCGAATTTGTTTCCAATCGAATTCAGTCGGTTCTAACAACTATCCCAAAATTCGATTGTAATTATTGTTTAATTCGGTTAGTATTACTGAATATATGGTGTACTCAACTATTTTTATTTATTATTCGGTAATCTGGATTGAAATTATTGGTATTTGCAACTGAAATATTATTTATTGAAAAACAATTTGTGGATTATGTGTATTTGAAAATATATTTATTTTGTGTAAAGTATTTACAATAATATATAAATATGCATAAACATACAAAATGTATAAATATAAAATAACTTCTCCCCTTTACTTTTGAGATTTTCGTGGTAATAAACATAGCATTTATGTACCAGGGATTTTGCTTTTGATTCTGTTCAATATTTTCAAAGGAACACTATCTATCCACGCCTTTCCGCTGCTGTAAAATTATTAAAAATTATAGAAAAATAACACATAATATATTATAAGATATAAAATATACCAAACATTACCTTTTTTATCCAAATTTCTGCATTAATTTATCCTCAAATGTAATTAGATTGTTTTTAATTATAAATTCGTTTTATTTTATTTATTTTTGTATACGTCAACTATAATTACCAATTAATCGGTTGTGAACATCAAATTTGGTTCCTTTAACCGTAATTAAATTTTAAATAATTTTTTCAATTGATAATTGGTTGCAGTGCTTAATATTTTTTACCTTCTACTGTTTTTCGGTTGTAGCGACTAATATTTGATGTTCTTACGTTTTAATCCTAAATAAAAATCGGATGCATTTACTGAATTGACAAATGAATTTAATAACCAATACAATTCAGTTCAAATTATTGATTTAGAAATTGCTAAAACCACAATTCGATTAGTACACACAGAAAAAAGATCGGTCGGAAATTGGTCACAATCACAATTATTTAGTTGATATAAAGGAATATTAGTTGTACTTAAAAAACTACACCATCAACATATTTTATATAATTGCAACTGAAAAGCCAAAACTGTAATCAATATAAGGTTAACATAACTGTTAATTTAGTTTATGTAACCAACTTAAGCTTTATTAAAATAATTTTTAATAACTTTACTTAGTACAACCGAATTAAATTTTTAATTTTATGTTCCAATTGAAAATATCAGTAATTGTAATCAAAAATTTGTTTATATGAATATATTTAAGTCAAAAATAGGTTTTTAGTCGTGGTACCAAAATAATTTAATTAAAGGTATAAACATTTCGGTTATCTTAATAAATTAAAGCCTTATTCGGTATTTCCAACCGAAAAATTCGATATTTATTATAATAATGTTTAATTCGGTATTTACAACCGACATCAATATACAAATAGTTATGTTGACATGACATTTAAAAAAATATTTAGTTCTAAATTAAAAGAAATAAAGAAAAAACATAAATAGAATTAAATAAAGCTTTCTTGCAGATTTTTCCGGTCAATTGTAAGTAAATAAATCAGCTTCCATGTACAATACATAGTAAAACCTTTATGTGTTCATTTTCAGAAGATTATGTGTCAATGCCTATAATAATTACGCAGGTCGATGCAATTTGAACCAAGGGATTCTAAGGGAATGATCTAGGCTGAATCCGGATCTGCTATTGGTAACTTCATATACGAATTGTGAAATTCAAGTTCATCAATTTGTGGATATTACAGGCCAACAAACTATTAACACAAAATCCATAGTTTACTTTTCAAAGGACCCGAGTCCGAATCTTAGCCTGAAGTTTGAAGAACCCCGTATTTTGTCGTATTCAAGGCACTATAATAGCGCGGAGTCAGTTTTATTTATAAAGTCATCTGAAATTTTGGTCCATTGGCTATAAAACCTCGATTATATCTTGTTTATTTATTAACATAACTTAAGCTTTTATTAAAAGAGACGCTGTACAGGGATTTTCAAACATATAACGAAAACGTGATGTGATTTGCAAATTCTGAGGTCAAATTCGGATTAGAATCCGTCGAAAAAGTAAACTTTGGGACACAAATTTGTTGGCCTGTGTTATCCAAAATTCTATGAACTTGATTTTTACAATACGTTAAAGTTACATAGCACTTATAGAAGTTACCAATAGCAAAATCCCTTCAATCATTAGATGATTTGATTGATGTATATCGAGTTTTATAGTTTTAAGAATAATATACTGTAAATGTTAAACGTTCATAAATACATTTAGTTTTGTGATACAGTAAGACATTGATCTACAACAATTTGTAACACAAACAGTAAAAATGTTGTAACTTTTTTTAAATGTTGCAGATTCGCGATGCTTATGGATTTATGAACGTAGGAATTCAAAATGTATAAATATGTATAAAAATGAATTAAATTTGCTAATTAATAAAGAAATTGATGAAAAAAATAAAACAATGTATGCTTTTATTTTGGTTATTAATATTGATATTTTCGGTCCCTATAACCGAATTGTTTTTTAAAATAAGTAGTTACGATAAATAAAAGCTTACTGACTGCAATCGAAAATTCGGTAATAACAACTAACCTGTGTTCTAAAAGTATAGTGTTAGCAAATGAAATATTCGGTAATTGCAATCAATTCATATGATAGTACATGTAACCGACCAAATTCGATTGGAAACAAATTCGGTTGTGACAACGAATCTGTTTTCTCTGTGTATTATTGTTTTTTAATACTGAATATAGAAAATCAGTTAATTATACAGTTTTTCAATAACAGCGATACAATTTTAATTAATTTAACTAAATATTTATCATGGTAACCGATTTTCAATCGATCTGTTTTCTGTGTGTAGAAGAAGTTGTCATCGTCTGTTTCAATTGTATATAAACAATAATAATATTCTGGCTACAGGTAGACACATTACGCCTACATAGGCACAATCTGAACACATACTTTCTAAGGTACCAAATTGACATCAAATTTTTCAATAACATCCGTTGTCAATTATATACAAGAATGTTGACCACGCAACTTTGTCAACATTGCAACATTTCGTTGTCGCAATCTAAATTATATGCACATCCGTTGTCTAAAAGTTAACAAACGTGGTAAGGTCACTATTGACAACGGATTTTAAGTTTACCACATTTGTTAACTTTTAGACAACGAATGTGCATAAAATTTAGATTGCGACAACATTACATGTTGTTGTTGTATGTATTAATATACTTGACAACAGATGTTATTGAAAAATTTTATGTCAATTTGGTATCAGGCGTGTATACATATTTATTTTTCCCTCTGTGTATGTATGTTTTAAAACAAAAGTTTAAAAATTTATTTTATGCGATAAACTCTTACATTCATGACACCTTTTCCTTACTCGAAAACAAATGCACTAAACATGCAGTAAACCTAAGCATTCATTTACTCCCTAAATGTTGTTTGTCAAAATAAAAAATGTCTCTAATATTTTAAACATGATCTTACATAAAATCCCAACTCTTAACAAAAATAATATTTGCGTGACAAAAATAACAAAATATTATAGATAAAAAAACGATTTTTTTAAATAAACAAAAATATAATTTTATTTAATTTATGCTCTTTTGTCTCGACAAAACAACAATTATTCTTTGCCAAAAGAAAAAAAGGGAAACCAACAACAAAATTTGCAAACAACTTTGTAGTATAATTTAGCTACTAGTAGTAGCAGTATTGAGAATAAATTCTAATACAAACACATATAAAAAGATTCTAACACACAGAGACACCAGCACAGCATTATCGAAAAAAAAAAAAAACAAAACAAACAAATAAAATAATACTAGAAAGTGAAAGAGAAAAAAGGGGAAAAACAAACAAGCTACCAAAAAGCCATCAACGAAGTAAAAACCCCAACATAAAATAACAAAACGTTAGAAAAATACTGCAAAAAAAACAAGCAAAAAACTCTGTAAACAACTACAGTAGAATTCCAATTAACAGGATTTTATTTGGCCAAAATAAAGTAACTAAATTCAAGTGTTTTTCTTTAATTTGAGGTTTTAAGGATTCGATGGTAGCAACACATACATACCTACTTATGTGGTGGTTCCATTCAACAGCAACAAACACCCACATATACATACTCACACAGATAAACAAAATTGAACAAAAAAAAAAAAAAAAACACTTGTAATTTCAAAAAGAAAATCCCAACAAAATAAACAAATTCCGCGGGCGTATAAAATACATTATTTATGTTTTATTTTATTTCATTTTATTTGTTTGAACTTTTCTCTTTGCTGTTTTTTTTTTTAAATCAAAATTTTTGTGCGTATTTGTATTAGTAAACACATATGCATAGTTAGTGGTATGTGTGTGCGTGTTTATGGAATCCCAGCAGTCATTTATGTGATCTTAGGATACTTTACAGTTAATTATATAAATATTTTAAATCCTTTTGTAAAAACTATATTATCTTTACTAAAACATATTTCTTCTTTTCTTTTAGGTAAGCCACTGATCTGTCGCTTATTGCAGAAGAGCTTTATTTTACTGTAAGTATGTATATATGTACATATATCGTATCAGGAGATTTAGAATAAGCAGATCCATTTCCAACTTAACCAATGATTCTAATTCCGCTACTTAATGTGCTGAAAACTAAAAACCTTCTCAGTGAAAAGTTTACGTACTCGGTAAGCTGACAAGTAATATTGGATTAAATTGGAAGTACTTACTTTTTAAGTGAAAACTACTAATTTTTCTTCGACGTGGTTCAAAAAACTACTGGTTACAAATGTTCTTACCCCACTTTCCCGGACTTACACACGGGTGTATATCGGTTGTCTGCGCTTATTAGTCTATCTGCTTACTCAGTGCTCTATTAATAAGTTATTTTTTCGTGCTATTTGGAATAGCTTTTAACTCTTAAAAAAACGACTGATATCAACTAGGGTTCAAACCATTAACTTCATGTCTGTTAGACAGACGCTCTAGACAAATGACTACAAATCATATTCAACAGAATGTCAATAACTTTATTGATAAATCCCACTCATTACCAGGTTATGTACTAAATAGTTACTACAATTTTGGTTGCTGGGTTATTTTAAAATGTTATATTAATGTCTCTATATGTATTTATGTGAATTGCTTAAAATGTTGGTGAATATTAAACTGATGTTACTCATCCGCATTTAGCTTAAAAATAATATGTTTAGATTTGTTTGTTTGTCAAGGTAGTTGTGTTGAATTTATAAAATTCTTTTGGCAAGTTTGTTGTTATACCCTACACCACTATAGTGGGGAGGGCATTATGCGTTTGTGCAACCACCTTAAAGTATACCAATCGGCTCAGAATCACTTTCTGATTCGATTTAGCTATGTCCGTCCGTCTGTCTTTCCGTTTGTGTGTCCATGTAAATATTTTGAAGATAATTTGATGAAATTTGGCACAGACTCTTCTTTTGACCCAAAGCCTGTTGAAAATGGTTAAAATCGGTCCATTATTTCGCATAGCCCCCATACAACCGTTCTCCCCAATTGGGCTTTTGAGCTCATAAATCCGTCTGTCTTTCCGTCTGTGTGTCCATGTAAATATTTTCAAGATAATTTGATGAAATTTGGCACAGACTCTTCTTTTGACCCAAAGCCTATTGAAAATGGTTTAAATCGGTCCATTATTTCGCATAGCCCCCATACAACCGTACTCCCCGAATTGGGTTTTTGAGCTCATAAATATGTTAAATAGTCTTGTATCACTCCAGAAATCTGGCAAACTTAGTTTTATATAAGTCTTAATGATACTGCTGATTTTCGTAATGATCGGGCCTCATTTGACCCTATCACACATACAAAGTCCCCTTCAGAAAATGACTTGACTGTCAATATTCACTTATAAACACTAATATCACGATGAAATTCTGCATAAATAACTTTAATGTAGACGTAAATCCGTCTACCATAATTTATAATGATAGCACCCTAATTATATATAGGCCCCCATATAACCTTATAATGCTTATCTTTTTGTCAACAAATTGTTAATTCTGAATTAACGTAAAAATGTATAGTCGGCCATGCCCGACTATAAATTCTTACTTGTTTGTATTTTATATTTTTTAATCTAACAAGATTTTTAAGAGGTTTATTTATTTAGAAAATAAAACCAGTTAAATACAAACATTCACGTACATTTTCGCTGACTTTAAAATATGATTCTCAAACGCTTAATAGCAAAATAAGAAATTTGCACGAAATAACATTAATTTCGATGAAAAAGGTATTATTTTTTGTGTTAAACTAATAACTTAAAAATATGTATGTGTAGAAGGTGAAAATGAAATTTATTTTGTTAACCAATTTTTTGTATTAGGAAACATTTTGTATATATGATTAAAAAAAAGAATGTTACACAATTTTTAGAAAAAATATATATTTAAAATTTATATAGTACTACATACCAAAGAGCTGCATCGCACAACCCTCATTAATTACCTGGGTTTTTATAATTAAATATATCAGATATTATAAGCACATACTTACATAGTATTTACATAAATGTACATATGTGAAATATAAAAATATCATGATTTAATTTAATTTTTAATTAACACAGCACAGGATTTACTGAAAAAAATTTAATAAGCATCAACAAAAGCTCAAGAAAATACTAAATTGCCATATTTTATGTTGTTATTAAAAAAAAGAGAAAAAATCCTTTTCAAAAAATATGATATGAATTTTTTTATTTCACCTAAATCAAGTGCCTTCTTCGGCATATTGTTGTATTATCCTGCTGCTGTGTTGTTGCTGTTTGTGCGTCGGCTGTGATAATTCTTTTTGTTGTTTTTTTTTTTAATTTAAACACATTATTTAGATCTCTTATATTGTAATTAACTTTTTTTGTTGGTTTATCATTTTAGTTAACTCGAGATGCTTACGTTTATTTTCATATTCATATTTCTTTTTATCTATATTAAATCCCTTCATCACTTCATTAATAACATATGAAGTAATAGTATGAGCAACAAAGTACATTGTTAATTTGAGAATATTTCTACCCTGTTGGAAATTGTGTCTTTTGACGACATTGTTAGAGTTGATTCATTACATACAAGTCATCAGGTCACTACTGACAATATACTGATTTTATCTTAAAAAATTTTACAAAATATCAACAAGTTTTTTTTGGGAACAAATGACAAATTCTGTAGGGATTCTAACAAGTCACGAAATATTTACATAAGACGTTTTAAAGAAGTGTCCTGAACAATTTTGGCATCCATATGAACATTTGCGTACAAAATGTTCGGACTAGCTATAGTTGGCGTGTCACTTCCTATATAAAGAAAATATATATGTGTGAAAATGTAACAATTACAGTCCTAAAATTTGTTCGTTGCCACTTGGTATCATTATGAATATTTAAGTAAAATAGGTGGACAAAACTAGGGGGCAAGGTACCTTCCATGTGAATTAAATACAAAAATTCGTATATCTGGGAAACTATCAGACCTAGAAGTTATAAAATTTTCACGGGAACATAGAAATCCATATGAAAAATTTGAAGGGAAATAGGGGCCACGCCCCCTATTGCTTGTCCGGCTAATCCTTAAATCCTTAAATTTTTCCCAAACGACTTTGACACCCATGTAAACATTTTGGTAATAAATTGGGGAATTAGCAACATAGGGCGTGACATTTCCAATAGGATTTCGTATATCTGGGAAACCATAAGAGATAGAATCCTCAAATTTTACACTATAGTCATTGACATCCATATGAAGAAATTAGGAAAACCTGGCAGGACTAGCAATAGGGGGCGTGGCATCCATACAAATTAAATACAAAAATTCGTATATCTGGATAACTATTAGAGCTAGATGCCTCAAATTTTACACGAGCAACTTTAACATCTATGTGAACATTTGGGTAATTAAGTAGTGGAGTAGGAACATGGCCATTAGGGATATAACCAAAATTAGGCCCTATCTCTACGTGGTAGCCAGTAGTGTTCTAATAAAGAAAACCATTTTTCATGTCATTTTGGTGCAAAAACCTTCAGCGTCAAATTGATTTTCTTGAACCATTCACAAACAAATTTACAAGAATTTTTAATAGTATAATCTATATGTGTGGGTCCTAAAATTGAAAGAGGGATTTACCGTATAAATGTCTTGGGACACTTGTTCATACCAAAAAATTTCGATTTTGTATTAAAAAAATTTTAATTTTTTTAGAGTATATATTGAAATCTTTAGAGCATTTGCCGCGGAAACTTTTTTGACGTACTTTTTTTATACTCTATGTAGAACTAATAGGGCCGATTTAAAATTTTCAAAAAATGTATAAAAGTTTTAACCCTAATGGGCATGACACTTCCTATATGAATTAATAGAGCCTAATATACTTACATTCTTTTGTATATAGCCGACTGGAAAAATGGGAATGGCCCTCCCCGTAAAAAGTAAATATGAAAAATCCTAAAGCAGTTTTTATACCGTATACCTGAAATATTGGTCCTACTCCCACCATACACGGCTCAGAATTACTTTCTGACTCGATTAAGCTATGTCCGTCTGTCTGTCTGTTTGTTTGTTTGTCCGTCCGTCTGTCTGTCTGTCTGTCTGTCTGTCTGTCTGTCTGTCTGTCTGTCTGTCCTTCCGTTTGTCTTGTGCACACACTTGCTATTTTCAAATAATTTGATTAAATTTCGCACATACTTTTCTCTTTCTATTAAAAATCTTTAAAATCGGTCCATTATTTCATCTAGCACCGTATTACATTACCCCATTCAACAAAACTACAAAATTCAAGAAGAACTTTTAAATCCAATTTTCAAGCAATTTATTTTAGAAAATAAAATCTTAAACCATATAATCTATATTAATAAAAGATAAACATTAAACATCGAACAAATTTTAATAAATGTAAATTTTCTTAAAAGAAAAATGCCTATATATTTTTTTTGCTTGTGATCAAAACTAATATTAATAAAAAAAATAAATAATGTTTTTCATATAGATTTTTTAACAAGGCAAACAATATCCTTGTTTGAATAAAAATTTCTGCTGAAGAGTTTATGGATTTCAAAAAGAACGTGTCTATACATATATTCTTACCGGAATTACAATAACAAACATCCGTTCACAGACACACTCTCTCCTATACTTGAGTGTTGAATAATGAAGTGTTGTTGTTATGTTAGTTGATAAAGTTATTTTTGTTGTTGTTGTATGATGTTGAATGACTGTATGAATAAACGAGTAAGTGAAGAGTGAATGTATGACTGACTAACTGAGTGACTGAAAGAATGCATACATGTTTTATGTCAAAGATTATAATAAACTCAACTGTAATAACAAAAAAAAAATTACAACAACATATACTAGCACATGTACAATATGTATTAAAATTTTTTTCTTATGCTGTAATATGCTTATTTTTTAATAAGAAGTATAAAAGAGAAAGTAATAAACAATAAAACATGTTGAAGCATATTTTAAGGCTTATAAACTTGTTGTTCTCTTTGTTTTTTAAAATTTATTTTTTAATTA